CCGACAGTTTGTGCCAGGAATTGTGCTACGTTCTGTTCATGGGCTTGTCCTGTTTATTCTTGCAACGGCCCTGGGAGTCGGGACTCTGAATAACCCCACTTGACAGCTAGGAGGCGTGTTCAGAGGGGGGCCAGTCACAGTGCCAGGAGTGACCGAGGTAGGATTTAAGGCAGGATCTTTCTGACCTCAGAGCTGCCCTGGGCTGTGCTGGAGCACTTCCTGGGAATGTCCGGAGCCCTGCAGGTGGACTTCTGCTGCTGTCTCCAGTCCACGAATGGTGGACTGTGTGTTTGAAACGCTCTGTCTCGGGCCAGGTGCCACGTGGCCGTAGAAAGGAGCAGCCAAGCACGTGAAGTCACCGGGGATGGAAATCTTAGCGCCTGCATTTTATTTTAATTAAAGCCCTTTCAATGCTGCCTCTGCCACATGACCCAGAGCCAGGGAGTTAGACTTTGTGCCCAGAGTGGATTCCTTCTTTGACATCCTCCTCTTCATTGGAACTGTCTTGTGACACGGGCCACATTCACCTTTACCGCCATTTATTTGTGCGTAGATTAGGCCACTTAGGGAACATAAACCAGTTTCCTCACCAGGCGTGAGCACACACCTGTAATCCCAGTGCCTCGAGAGCTGAGGTAGGAGGATCGCAAGTTCAAAGCCAGCCTCCACAACTTAGTGAGGCCCTAAGCAACCTAGAGAGACCCTGTCTCAAAGTAAAATATAAAGCCAGGCGCTGTGACGCATGCCTGTGAGCCCAGAGGCTTGGGAGGCTGAGGCAGGAGGATCGCGAGCTCAAAGCCAGCCTCAGCAAAAAAGCGAGGCGCTAAGCCACTCAGTGAGACCCCGTCTCTAAATAAAATACAAAATAGGGCTGGGGATGTGGCTCAGTGATTGAGTGCTGAGTTCAATCCCCAGTACCCCTAAAATAAATAAAATATAAAAAGAGCTAAAGATGTGGCTCAGTGGTTAAGCTCCCCCGGGATTCAACCAGTGGTACCACAAAAACAAAGTTCCTTCTGTTAATCAACAAGGACTCCAATTGGATACCGTTTTAAAGTGACAGGGTTGCAGAATTCTGTCCACTCCTGGAAGGTGGTTACCTTTTAAAAAGATAATGAAGAAATATGTGACAATAATAGCATAATGGAGGTGAGAAATGGAGCTGTATAGGAGCAAAGTTCTGTATGCTGCTTCAATTGGTATTAATCTAAGCTGAATTGTTTAAAAAAAATTAAGATGTTCATTGTAATCCTCAGCACAGTCACTAAGAAAATAACTAAAAAATAAATAGTAAAAGAAAAAATAAGGGGCCGGCATGGTGGCCTGTAATCCCAGTGACTCAGGAGACTGAGGCAGGAGGATTACAAGTGCAACGTCATCCTCATGAACTTAGTGGAACCCTGTCTAGAAATAAAATAGAAAGGGCTAAGGATGGTAGCTCAGTGGAAGAGCACCCCTGGATTCAATTACCTGTTCCCCTGGAAAATATAGCTGTACAATCAAGGGAGGCGGTAATGGAGAGACTGAGGAACAGGGAGACACAGGCATAGAGAGAAGAGTAGTAAAATAGCAGTCCTGCTCGTGGGAAGTCGGATCAGTGATAAGCAGAGCCCTGAAGCCCGTTTCCAGCAAGCATCGGTTCCCTTAGGCTCTTTGGTTGCAAATAACTGAAACCAGCTCTTCATCAAAAGAGAATGAAGGGCAGGAACCAGGATGGCTCTGGGGGTCTGTGGGGCAGGAGCTGAGGGTCCCTCCAGGCCTGGCCATAGGTGGAAGCCTTTGTGTGTCCCAGTCCATGATTTGGTCCCTAGAGAGAGTCCGGACCTGCTGACTTGGGTCAAGCCTGGCTCATAGGCCCGTCCTTGTCCAGGACGGAGCACTTTGAATGACAGTCCCCACAAGACTGCCCATGGGGGATGTGGGGGAGAAGTCCTCCGCAGCAGAACCGGGGTGCTCTTACCAGAAGACAAGGAAGGTGATGATGATGTTAGGCCAGCGAGAGTCCTAGGTGTCTACTACAGAGCCAGTGACCAGTGTGTCCCAGAGCTGAATAAGCCAGGGAGGCCTGAGTTAGACTCGGAGAAAGTCCTCTGAGCTTCGCCAAGGTGTGCCCGCAGGCTCCAGGCAGCCATGGGGACACAGCGTTGCCCGAGCTTGTTCAGCCACACCATGGGTTCTGCCTTTGACCCTTATTAACACGGGACAGTGGGACAGGTTGCAGAGAGGCCAACAGGAGCGCCTGGAGACGGCGTGGGAGACGTATGATTTATTGGGGACAGCTTACAGGAGATCAGAGACTGCTCCAAGAGGGGTCCTGTGGCGCCAGGCTGACAGCGCCTCTGTCCCCCAGTGCTCTGCGAAGCAGCGCCTCTGTCCCTCGTGCCTCCTGTTCAGGGGAAGCCAGCTGGAAGCGTGACATGCATCCTCTCCACAGTTCCCTCGGTTCTGCCTGGGTGGCCCCTGAGAGAGGACTTTCCTATGTGGAGCTGCAGAAGCAGTGACATCAGCAGCATTAGCTTGCTTAGCTTGTCTGGCCAGCATCTGGAGCAACTGTCCTGCTGTACGTGTTAGAAGGTAGCTTTGCACTGACCGCCCTGGCCCCCAGTGAGTGTAAGAGAAAGCCAGTGTGCTGCAAGGTCATAGGTATCTGCTGGGAGCAGTGGTGCACCCCTGTAATCCCAGCCGCTCGGGAGGCTGTGGCAGGAAGAGCACAAGTTCAAAGCCAGCTTCAGCAAAAGTGAGGCACTAAGCAACTCAGCGAGACCCTGGGTCTAAATAAAAAGGTCTGGGATGTAGCTCGGTGATTAAGTGCCCCTGGGTTCAATCCCCGGTACCCCCTCCAAAAAGGATATTCTGTACCCGAACCTTCCCAGGTATCTGTCATTGTTCCCTTACTTGGCTGGATTTTGGGGAACTGAAAGGGGGCACTCAGGGGTATGGTGTTTCACTGTGTCCTTTTCTTCAAGGATGATTCACACAGTCTCGGGAGCCCAGGTAGGGAAGCCCTGGCCTGGTAGGTCTCCCTTGACCCTTCAGCTCTGTTGTCCTCTGACTGCAGCAAGGACAGGGTTTCTGCCCACAGTCAGCGGGTCCTTCTGGCTGAACGTGAAGTCAGAACCAGCTTTGCCCTGGCCTGATGGGTCCTCTGGTTTCTGTTGGCCACCCACCCAGCTTGGGGCAGGGCTGGAGGAGCTCTTAGCCGTCATCTGGGCCAGCACTCACTTTTCCAGATGGGGGACACATAAACTGACCCGGAGGAGGGACTTGTCCAAGGTGGCTGTGAAGTGGCAGCATTTGGGACCAGCACCCCAGTACCTGCTCCCAGCTCAGCCTCCTTCCCCGTGCTGCGCCCTGCGCCTTGCTGGGTAGAAGTTAAAGACAGCTGTGCCTGGGGACCTAGGCAGACCCTCTGCCCGTGCCGGCTGCCCCTTCCCTGGAAGACCTCCTCAGCTGTCAGTACTGAGTGTTCCAGTGGGGGAAAGAGGGAGGAGGGTGACTTCATCCCTCACTGTTGACCTTTCCTGAGAAGGAGCCTCGGCCAGCTCTGGCCACGCTGGGGCGCTCGCTGATTCTCTCTCCAGGTAGACTGGACACTGCGCCAGAGCTGTGCTGATCCTGGGGCCAGGCCTTAGAGGTTGGGTAGGACTCCCAGGGAAGAGAGAGTCAGGGATGAGAGACAGGAGCAGAGGCGAGAAGGAAAGTAGCATCCAGGGAAGGGTGGATGACTATTTTGCCAAAATAAAGCATTTCTCTAGTGTTAGGGGTGGAGTACTTCTGCTGGGTATATTGGGGACATAATAGGGTGTGGCTGAAATGCTAAGCTAAGTGCACCTTAAGAGCAATTGGGTTCCTAAGCATTTACCCTAAGGGGACTGGAGGTGTGGCTTCATGGTAACGCTCTTGCCCAGCAGGACCTGGCCCTGAATGCACTCTCAGAACTGCAAAAAAGAAAGAATTTATCCCAAGGGCCTAATCTACACAGATGCACAAACTTTCATCCTAGAATATTCAATCACAGCAAAATTTTTCTGAAGGAAATGGAGCAGGGCATCCACCTATGATCCCAGCGGGAGGCTGAGGAGGGAGGATCACCAGTTTGAGGCCAGCCTGGGCAGTGAGACCCTGTCTCAAAATAGAAAATAAAAAGGGCTGGGGGTGTGGCTCAGAGGTGGAGTGCCCCTAGGCTCAGTCCCCAGTACTGCAGAAAAATGGCCCAAATGTCCAATATATATAAAATATAGCACATGAACTATTTGGCCCTTATTTAAAACAATAAATTAAACATGGCTGACAGGGAAATGTGTTCACAATGTGTTGAGTTTCAAAAAAACAAACCAGGTTGTATAAAACAGGTAGTCATTTTATAAAGTAAAGCAACAATTTCCATTGACATCTAAACTTGTAGACAGAAAAAAGCTTACGGGAATAAGAACCACAATGTTTGTAGTGATCATCTCCGGGTTAGCGAGTTACAGGTGGCTTTTCTGTTGTGGTGTTCTTTTTACAAATCAGTATTTCCTAATTATTCAACAATGAACATACATTTGATAGTCACGTTTAAAAAATACCATGCCGAGGATTCTGAAGCTTATTCATAAGATGATCTAAATTAACATTTTGTAGATTAAATGATTGAAAGGCCCTAGGCCTCGAGCCAGTTAACCGGGTCTCTTCGGGTACTTCTGGCAGCATGAAGGCTCTCAGTAAGATGACAGGACCCAGACCCGTGTTTCTCCTGTAAATGCTGATTTCCAAACATGGCTTTTCTGCGCAAGATGGTGACCAGCCAGTGCCACTCAGGGAGGAGCAGGGCAGGCTAGGCCTTATCTGGTCGTTGTGACCACACGGCCAAAGGGCAGAGTTTCCTGGGATACCCAATTCAGGCTGGATGTTGTTTTTCTGGTTTTCTATGGGGACAGCAAAGAGTTGAGCACCAGGTATTTCCTGGGGACCCCTGGCTTGGCCGTGACGCACGTCTGCTTTGTGAACTTTCCTTCCAGGAAAACCTGATTGGCGCCCTCTTGGCAATTTTTGGGCACCTCGTGGTCAGCATCGCACTTAACCTCCAGGTAAGTCTCCCTCACTGGCACCGTGCACAGCAGGGACAGGGCAGGAGGTGGGTGTCTCGTCCAGGTCCAGCTGCCTCCTCTGTGGGCCCTGCCTGCTCTGTCCTGGGCTGTGCCTGCGACAGTGCCTGGTGGACTAATGCAGAGTCTCTCTGGATTCTGTGCCCCCCTCCCTCACCCAGCTCAGGACCTCCCCTCCTCTTGGGCCCGGGCTGTGCAGTAGCCTCCTGCCTGGCCCCCCGGGTTCTGGTCTCATCCTTTCCTGTTCCCCTTGCTGCTGGGCTGCTGTGGTGCTGTCAAGTTCAGCTCTGATTACAGCACAGACTGGTGCTTACAGTCTCGGGGTGCCCTGCAGAGCCCCCAGCCCCTGGGTTCACAAGCAGCTGTGGTTTGGAGCAG